GATATTTGATTTCTTATTCCTCCCCCCCTTCAACTCATATATATAATATATATATATATATATTATATATATATATATGTAACCTGCTTCAAGTTATTTCTGGAAAAAAGTGTTAAAAATTGCTTCTCTCTGGAATAATAATAATAACATATTCAAAAATTTTATTATTTTGTGTGCGTGTGTGTGTGTGTGTGGTATGTGAACATGTAAGTGCAGGTACCTGAAGAGTCCAGCAGAGGGCATTGAATCCCCTTGAGGCTGGAGTTATAGGTGGTTGTGACATGGGTGCTGGGAACTGAACTCAGGCCCTCTGCAAGAACAGTACAGGCTCTTAACCACCTGAACCATCTCTTCAGCCCTCACTAACATGTTATTAATAGACTGTTATGCAGCTGTTGGCATGATAGTTATGGAATCTAAAACAATCAAAAGCTGTCATCCTAAAAGTGTCACCAATCAGCTGGCTGAGGGGTCTTTGCTCTAGCTGGGTAGTTTTCACGGGTAGGTAAGAATCTCTTCTAGTGCTTCTGTCTGACAGCAAAGGGTGGTAGCAGCAGACGGGCAGAATCTTGGGTAATGTCACGGTCCTGTTCAGGCCTTGGGTGCAAGGAACCCTGGGTCTTGGCAGCAGCAAGTGTTCTAGCTTTCAGCCTGGCATCTGAGACTGTTGACCAGGAAGACTTGTTGGCTGTCTAGACCTCTTCTGGCAACCAGGACCTGCAGGTCCTCTCCTCTTCTCTGGCTCCTTACAGCCTTTTCTCAGCACTCGGCTTGCTTGTCTGCTTTCCTTCTTTTTGCCTTTGCTTGCTCTTCTTGTTTTTTGCCTGCTCTGTTCAGCTACAGTGCTGCCAGGATGACTTGGGCACCTGCCTCTGTCAGGTTGCTGGGTGTGCAATGATCAACAACGAATTCAAAACCAAATGCTCAGTGAATCTGACGTGTTTGTGGCAGTGCTTGCTTGTGTCATATGGTGTAACTTCACCATAGCCTTAATTCTCAACATGCAGCTTAGCGCTGTGCATGCCATCACCCCACACAACCCTGCCTGAAACACCTCTGCTCAGAAACTAGCACATGTTATGAATCACAGTGTTTTTATTACACAAAGTTTTCACCTCTTGTAGAAACATAGTGGTTTAATTATGGAAAACAAAGACTTGAATATTTTTTTGTTGTCATCTCTCAGAATATAAGTAGCAAATTAGTGTATCTCTGGGTTCTACTATGTTAAAATGTTTGATTTTAAAAATTGCTGTTTGAGGGGCTGGAGAGAGGGCTCAGTGGTTAAAAGCACTGGCTGC